TGTTGCCAACAGATCCCCTCTGAGTCTCCTCTTCTCCAGGCTGAAGAGACCCAGTTCCCTCAGTCTCGCCTCATACGGCTTCCCCTGCAAACCGGCCACCAACCTTGTGGCCCTGCGCTGCACCGACTCTAACCTGGCTATATCCTTCCTGTAATGAGGGGCCCAAAACTGAGCACAATACTCCAATTGCGGGTGCACCAGAGTCGTGTAGAGTGGTAGTAATACCTCTCTTGATCTAGAAGCCATGTTTCTGGCTATGCAACCAAGGGTGGCGTTCGCCCTCTTGGCCATCGCATCACAGTGCTGGCTCATGTTCAGCCTGCAGTCAACCAGCACCCCAAGGTCCCTTTCACAAGTGCTGCTCTCCAGCCACTTGTCACCTAACCTGTACTTATGACAGCTATTCCTATGCCCCAAGTGCAAGACTTTGCACTTCTCCACATTGAACGCCATCCTGTTGTCTCCTGCCCACTTCCATAGGCTGCCCACGTCCCTGAGGATCCAGAGCACCTGCTCCATCCTCCCTCTTTGCGATAGCCTTTCCAGGACTTGTGGGGTGCTAAATGCCTACATTCCGGCCTGGCTTCACCCCACAGCCACTGCGCACAGGGTCTGAAATCCCCGACCTGCTTTCTTGCAAGGAGAGGAATGCGTGCGTGTGAGCTCGGTGACACCCGAGAAGCAGAGCAGGAACCTGAAGATCAGCTCACCTGTTCGCCTCTGTCTCCTTTGGAGCCTTTTGGCCCTGGCTGTCCCGGGGAGCCAGGCACGCCCTGTGGGGGATGAAATCAGAGGGGAGAGATTGGTGCTGTGTGGGAGCCGCCTGCCCACGGGAGAGATGGCGGGACGGCCAGCGTGGTGCAGCGGCAGCTCGGCTGACTGGGACCTGGGTGATCCGGGCTCTACACCCCACTCGGCCATGAGCCGCATGGGGTGACTGGGATGTTTCTGACTCTCAGCCTGGCATACCCCACAGGGTTGTTGTGTGGAGAGAGCAGAGAAGCGCTGGATTGCTCAGGCCACCCTTTCGTAGCAGGAGGAAAACAAGAGGCAGTGCAGAAAAGCAATGGCAGATTGTAAAATCAATACAAATAGCATGTTTTGTGAAGGGTGTGAAAAGGCCGGAAGTGATGGGGTAATTTGCTTACAGGTTTCTTTGGCGAGCTTATGCGCCAAAATTAAACTCCAGCTTTATTTACAAAAGCAAAAAAAGCTCCTGCTGTTCCACAAACCCATCAAATGCTACCAAATATTTTGCAGTGAGAGGTTGCTGTTTTTTTGTAGGATAGCTTTTTATGCTCTCTTGGCTTTTACATCAGCAGAAACGATCGCAGAGAAAATCTAGCATGCAAGAACTGTGAACTAACCTGAACCTGCCCAGGCGCTACGATCCACATCTTACGTAGGCCTTCTTCTGAGGATGCAACAAAGGACAGGGCCTTCCCCATGGTGGCCCCAATGCAGAATGATCTCCCCTCCAAGGCCCACCTGGCACCTAAGTATTTAATGCCACTGAATGGCTTGGGATTAAATCAGCTTTCTTTTTAAACACAACTAGTATGTGCAATGAAATTGTTTTCAGCTGTTTAAATTGCTTTATATTTTGTGTATTGAAATTTGGTAGTTTATTATCTGGATCTGTGGTTTGTAATTTTATGAATTACATAATTCATAGAGATTCAGCTCCAAAGAAACAACTATTGTTATGATTACTAATAATAATATGACCCCCTAGTTGCATTTATACTGGTGCAGGTGAAGTTGAAACAGCAAGGACTGAGAAGTGGCAAACTCAACATGACCTCACCTTGAAATGTTGGGGGACAGGGGCTAGGTGGCTTGCCTACCTGCAGCCCAGGTGCTCCAACAGGTCCTGGTGCCCCTTTGGGGCCTGCTGATCCAGGTGGCCCTAATGAAAATCAATTAGGAGAATTAGAAACCCATTGCTGGTTTTTTAAGGGGCAAATTTTACATGTTAAAATAGGCTGCCAGGCAGGTGTCTGTAGGCACAATTCTCAAGACTGAATGAAAAAGCAGAGACCTGCATCGGTTTTCCCTAACCTGGTTGCCCTCCTGCTGGCTGGGAATTATGGGATGTGCCACCCAACACACTGGGTGGGAGGGAAGCATCTGTCCTAGGTCATCAGTCACAGCCCTTCTAACTGTTCTGACTTTGTTGGAGAGGAACCCAGAGGCAGGGCCTTTTTGGTGGTGGCTCCTTTTTATGGAATGCCCTTTCAAAGAAGGTCACCTGCCACCTCCTCCACCTTTTTGTTAGGGGTGCCAGCAAAACCCCTAAAGCAACACAGAAGAAAATAATGAAGAATTGCTAGAGTATAAATTCTAGCAAGCGATTTGGAGGTTCGAAATTGACCTGGGATGAGGCATATTTCGAAATCATCCCTCAATGAGACCTGATCAAATAGAGTGAGCATTTACAAATGAAAGTACCTCCCTACTAGAACTGGTCTTTGCCTCCATGGCTTGGTAGGTAGACAGGAAGACAGAAGCCACCTTCTCAAGCATCAACGTATTTGAGGTCCGCCCTGAACCCGGAAAGGTGACCCCAGAAGATAGTCTAACACCGAGCTGGAGCATGAGCCCGTTTGGCTCAATGTCGATTTTGGATGTGTGGACATGCTCCAAAATCACAGGCAGAATATTTTCATGGTTTTGCACTCTTCAGCCCTTTCAACGGGAAATTCCGGGGCCTGAACCCAGGGCCTTGTCACAGGCATGTGTGCTTTCTACCCTGAGCAATGAATGCCAAAGAAAGCGTTTTAAAGATGCTTAAAGACACAGTAAAATCTGCCCCACTGATGTTCCACTAATGATGAGGCACCTTTCGTTCTGTTGTTCACTCATGGAAGAACTGGATTATCTGCAAATGGATGCATAAATCCTTTGCTCAAATCCGGAGCTGCACAAATTTGCACTTCCCAAAATGTACCAGAGGGGTGGAATGAAATCTGTTGGATCCATCCCTCCAGCAAGCATGGAACCTCCCCTCATATCCAGCCGAGCCTTGGAAAACAGGCTGAGCCAAGAGGGAGTCTGTGAGCCCTCACGGAATGAAGGTTGCCCAGCCACCAGTCTTCAACTGCAGTAGTGCAAACAGCTCGATTCCTAGCAGCGCCTTGCTAATGCTGAGCCCACTCGCCAGGCACTCGGGGTTGCTCGGGGTTGGACTGGAATCCCAGGGAATCTGATGGCTTCCCACCCCGCAAACTGGATCCCTCCACTTCCCTAGAGCACATGCCCCTGAAAATTGCTTTTCTGCATAGCTTGCTGTATGGGGGAAATGGGCAAATTGGGGGTCTAGCTTCATTTTTCATTCTGCATATGTCTCTATGGCTAAAATTGGATAAAATTACATAAAACTGCAATCTGGAAAAGCCAGTCCATTGCAGAATCTGTGGGTCAGATTCTTAGGAATCCAAATTCGTCTGAGACAGTTATGGGTTTCTCGAAATTCCCTAGTGCCAAATTTGGGTTTCACAGCTGCCTTTGCCTCGAGTCACCTTTCCCCAAGGCCGCTGGCCAAAAGAATTCTTGAAACCAGGAGCTGGCAACCCCACGCCAGAGGTGCTTGGCATCTTTTTGCTAATGAGCGTGGGTTCATTTTTGAAGATTTCATCCTGGCACGCGGCAGCTCCATGCTTGGCAGAATGGGAACGCTCATTTGAGCTGATGCTCTTGTTACGGTACATTGTGAAGGGGTTGCCTGCTAATGGCTTTATCCCGCGAGCACAGCGGGGTGGGGGGCATATACTTCCTTCGAGACACTGACGATTAATTACATTTGCAGCTTGTGGGGAGGGGGAGGGATAGATCTGAGCGCCTTCTGAACTTAGCTCTAATTGTTTCGGGTGAAACCCCCACGAGCCTCAGACGCCCCACCAGAGCAATTGAATCAGCCTCTATAATTAATGCAGTCCCTGGAATATCACAGCCGGGATGAGACGAACTGAAGGCTAAATGGAGGAACGTGGTAAGGCGAGCAGGAAGCCTCTTGCGATCCTGACGGGAGGTCATTTCTAAGTGCCTCCCTGCCGACAAACCACTTAAGGTGTTTCTTAAAAATCAACATTTGTACGAGTATAATGGAAGGGCTCCTTTAATAACAAAAATTTGTTTCTGATCTCAGGGTGGAGCCGGTGGCTCACAGAGATGCGACCTCATTTTCTTTCCCGTCCCTGCTCTTCCTTGTGCTGTTTGGTTCAGGGATAGAAAGCCCCCAAAGCTGGCCCTCCGGGGTTTCCCAGGTAGCCCCACTGCTCCCCCACAACTACGGAGAGTGGGGCCTTCCCAGGTCTGGTGTGCCCTTTTCCCCTTTTCTAAAAACTTAAAATGCCTCTCTTAAGGCTGAGTTACTGACCAGAGAATCTTGAGGTAAAAACAGGTTGGTCTTTGGGGCATCTTGGCCCAAGTTCATCTTATTTTACAATTCTATACTGCTAAGAATAATACAGTCACAAGCACGGCATAATCCAGCCCAAATGCTTGTAACCCTCTGAATTCAATGGGTATCGGCATGTTATGCAGGGTGGAAGAAATGCAGAGACAAAAATCTCCTTGCTCTGCCTGTCTGGCAAAACTCTTAGATGGAAAATTAAAATGGAAAACAACAACAACAGCGTTTTAAATCCTTCTATAAGCCAGGCTCAAGTTTATACCTCTACAAATTAAGTTAAAGCCAATGGACCTTTAAGTTTATAAAAATAAATGACATAGGACACAAGAAGTTTGTAAATGAATGAATGGTTGCAGACAGAGGGATGGATTTCCTGTGCTTCTCCGTTTTAGCTCTGCTGTGCTTCCCCAACACCAGGAAACCTCCATTTTGTGAGGATCCCGACACTTCTACTCAGCAGCAGTTATAACGGGACCGCTTTCCCCCAAGCAGCTGTCAGCCACCGCATGCATCAGGGCTGCTTCTCCCGGCAGAGCAGGCAAGCTGCCTTGCTCTGCCTGCATGACCACCCCCCCCCCCCCGCTTCCCAGATCGCCTTTGGCTTGTTGCTTTGCCCTATTACCTGGCAGGCCAATGGGGCCAGGTGCACCACGTGGTCCTGGTAAGCCGGCCAGGATGGTGTCGATGACTTTGGAGGCCAGCTGTGTCTCTCCATCTGTGTGAGAGCCAGAAAAATCCGAGGAAGTCAGTAATCCTGCAAGGCTTTGAAGTCAGTGGAACACACGGTTACCATGATGCATTTGTGAGCCGTCTCTCTGGGGTCACAGATTTGGAAAGGGCCCACGAGAGACCCTGGGAATCGGGCTGGTGCCGACTCTACCTACTTTCGATACCAGGTTAACCTGTTCCCTGGGACACAGCATTTAACTAGTTTTATAGCAGTCTGTCAGCTGCTTAACAGACATTGCGATTTAGCTGGTGTTCACCATTGTAACTTTCTGAATGTGATTTTCAATCTGGCTTTCTAATTTTGTCCTGTAATGTTATAATGTTTTTCATTAGCTGCATTTTTTTTTATTGCTTTTTATGTACGGCTTCAGCTACTGGGCAGTATATAAGTACAATTATTATTATTATTATCTGCTAGTTATAGCTGGAAAGCACTGAAAAAATGTCGGTTCCATTCACATGGCTGCTTGGAAGCCTGCCCAGTCCATTCCCTGGGCTTTGCTTCCCTCTGCTGTCGGCAGCTTGGAATTCCATCTCACTGGAATTCCATCTTTTGAGGCGCTCCTTGTGGCAGAGGATATGCAAAGTCAGCCTTGGTTAGCTACTGAAGCAGCGTTCCCCAATCCTCTGCCTTCCAGCTGTGCTGGACTACAACACCCAGAATCCCTCAGTCAGTTGGCCGGGGGATTCTGGGAGATTGGCCCGATGCATCAGGGGTTCCTAGGATGGAGCAGGCTGTACTAAGGCATTGGCTCCTCTCACCAACTGCAATCAAACTTGGGCGCAGCTCTGTGGTGGAGAACCAGCCATCCAAAGCAAGTTCAACCCTCCACTTCCATCTTGGTCTCTGCCAACTTGGCATGCCTTGGGCTGCTCCCCTGCAGTCACTCGCTCACTACCATGAAGAGCTGCAGTATATAGTACTTCTGTTTAGTATGCCAGCCAAGCAACTTGAGGGTTTCTGATCTGAAGGGCTCAGCAAGAAAATAGGCTACCCATAAAGAGCTCTGGGGCAGGACTGGCGGCAGCGGCCATGAGGTTGGCCCATCTGCAGTGGACCCTGCAGGCCGCCTGGTCCCAAGCTTCCTTACTATCGTCATTATTTTTATTTCTATATCACGCAATCATTGACGCTGCCAGAGCCCCTCAGAACAGTTCATAAAAATAGGTACCGTCATAAACAGGATGAGAACAGAAATACAAATACAATAAAATACAGCATGAGATCCCAATGCACAAAATTTAGAACAGTTTGAAGTAAAACAATTTCAATAAAACTAGCGCAATGTAAAGAATTTCCCCTTAAAAGCAGAGCCATTCTTTCTGAATCTGCACTTGTATAAAAAAAAAAAATTAATCAACTGAGGGTGTGTGCAAAACTGGGTGGTCTTTCAGGGTGATTCATTCTCTCTTCTTTTGGCAACGCATAAGTGGAAAATTGACTAAGGATGCACAATCCTTATTGAGCTGTTTGGGGAGGTAACTAACTGATCGGGGATTTTACTAAAGATGACCAAATATCCCAAGACTTGTTATGCCTTGTTCAAAAGTCAGAATAAATTGAAGAGGCTAGAACATTCAAATTTACAGTGCCATCTTGTTCCCTAGTTATGCCAGAAAGTCTGCGTACTGGAGCACAATTAATTCACTCCTGTCTAAATAATTAACTGTGGCTGCTGGAAATCTTCAGTGGATTAAAAATACATTCAGTCCCTCCACTTCCAGGAGGGAGAGATGATTAATTAACAAAATCCATCTTACACTTAGGAATTCTCCCGTTGTTACAACTGCACTCTAATTCCTGGAGCGTAGCAAAAATAGGGGAAACGTGGACATCATAAAGAAAGGCAGGCTGCTTACCTGTACCTGTTGTTCTTCGAGCGGTCATTTGTGCATTCACACCTATGGGCTTTATGCTACCTGCACAGGGGGTGGGCCGGGCTCCCGCCCCCTCCATGGCGCCGAGCCCTGGAAGTTTTTCTCTGATCGAGGCCTTGCGCTCCGTGGCAAGCCCATAGGTGTGACTGCACGGACCAAGAAGAACGGTGCCAGCTGCCCACCCATGTGGTGGGCCACAGCTGGGCCCCGAAGAGGGCCAAAAGGGGCCTGTCAGAGCGGCAGGGCAGAAAGGAGACGGGGGATTCAGCTTATGCAGATATGCACAGCTGGTCTCCCCCAGCCCGTTTCCACTTTCTCCTCGTGGCTAAAGGCAGCTGCCTGGATGGGAGCGATGCATCGCTCTGTTCCACGCCTCAGATGCTCGTGAGCCTTTGAGCTCAGAGTCTTCCGTGCGGCCAGTGCGTGGAGCGTGGGACTGCACCCGTCCCCTTTGGGGGAAACGGGAATCTTTAGCCAATGTGTATTTTTACTGGCCATATTTAACTTTGATTAAATTTGTGCAAAATTATTGAAAGTAAAAACAGCAGGGCTGTCCTGCCATCTTTGCTTCCAGCCAGAGTGGGCTACAGTGGAAGTGTGTGAATGTGAGGCAGTGTGGCATAGTGGTTAAAAGTGCAGGACTGGGACTCGGGCGATCCAGGTTCTGGTCCCCCCGACTCAGCCATGGGCAACTTCGGGCCGGTCACAAACTCTCAGCTCAGCCTACCTCACAGGGTTGTTGTTGGGAGGATACAATTGGGAGGAGGAAGATGAGAATTATGTAAACTGCCCTTGAAAAGGAAAAAAGGCATGATATAAATATAATAAATAAAAGCAAGCGCACCGTGTGGTGTCCGACCTCCCATTCATACAGCATCCGGTGCTAGTGGAAGGAGTGCCAAGCTCCGAGGGAGCTCCCCTCCCCTTCAGCTCTCCCTGCAGGACTCCGGGCTGCTTTTGCAGGGCCACTGGACCCTGGAAGGATGAAGCCCTGCACCCGTTAACAGAGCCTGGCTGCCCAAAGGGGGCTGCTCTCTAGGACAGGGTTGGGGAATGTGATCCTGCGGAGCGTCAACGCCCACGGTCCTGGCCATGCTGGCAGAGGATGATGGGAGTTGGAGTCCAAGACCTGCATGTGGCCACATGTCCTCCATCCCTGCTGTAAGAGGGACATGCACCAGGGCTCTGGCTGAACGCAGCAGACCGCCTCATCCGCTCCCATGCATGGCCGGCTCCACGACGCCGTTGGCCACTGGAGTTAAAACTCTGCACGGGGTGCTGTGACTCCGTGGCGTTTCCTTGCCCCCGAGAAAGCAGCTGTGTGGAACGCTCTTGCTGCAGCAGCAGGGAAATGTCAGCCAGGCTTAAGCGGCCACGGCGGCTGGGGCAAAAGAGCTCTCCTGCACAGTGACACAGCTGCAGGGAAAGGGCTCCTTCGGGGAGGATCGCAGCACACCGTCCCCTGTGCGGTTCCCCCAAAACGCTGGGAAGACTTACTTTCTTTTTCAGCATTGAGCTGCAGTGAGTAGAGGACTCCTTGCTGAAATGTTAGCGGGGTGGCCGGGGGTCCAGGAGGCCCCGGGGGCCCGGGAATCCCCGTTTCGCCAGGATACCCCCTCGGTCCTGGAGGTCCGAGCAGCCCTGGAATTCAGAACAAAGACGTGTTAGGGGCTTTGCGTGCGGCTGGAAGTGCTGCAGGTGCGGCTTCGGCTAGAAGTGGATGCACAGAAGTAGATCCGGAAGGCCTGTGCTGACGGAAGACACGGCTTTCCTTTACGCAGGGCCCGATCCCAACCCTGCTGCTGTGAGGTTCTTCCGTGCACATGGACAGATTCTTCTGCAGTGCAGATCTGGCTCTGGCTCTGGCTCTGGCTGGCTCTGGCTCTGGCTCTGGCTGGCTCTGGCTGGCTCTGGCTCTGGCTCTGGCTCTGGCTCTGGCTGGCTCTGGCTCTGGCTCTGGCTCTGGCTGGCTTGCTCTGGCTCTGGCTCTGGCTCAGCTCCTTTCTCTGGCCAGGTGGCCCTGTATGTGCCGGGAGCACACACGGGTCTTACGCTGCCTCCATCTTTCCAGGGGCTGGCATGCTAAAGACGCACGGTGGTACTTTCGGCCTGGTGGAGCCATCCAGAAGTGCTCTGGGCCTTGGGTTCTGCCCTCTCCTTCTGAACATGGGAGCACCCCAAGAACACCTGCTGGCATCAGCCTCTGGGATGGAAACGTCACTCCCAGCGCTGTGAGTCGAGGCTGTTGGCTCTGCCGCACTGCAGGTCCCAAGGAAGCGGCCGAACGGAGGCCTCTTGCTGTGGCCGCGGGCAATTAAACAAGCCCTCCGTAGCCGCAGCCAAGCCCTCCGAGATCGATCCAGTGCAATGTTTCCACCAATTAAGGACCGTGCTCCAGGCAGGTCAGTGGTGGGACGTGCCTCCTTCCCGGAATTCATCATTTTAGCAGACTCCTCAGTCAGAGATCTACCTAATCAAATGGTCAGGACCTGGCCATCTTTTGCCCAGTCTCCAGATGTGCTGGATGGGGTGGGCACTGCAGTAAACCCATCTGAAGGACACTAGTGTGGGGAAATATTAAATTCACCCCCAGGATGTTCTTCTACCAGCAGGAGGAGAAAACTGGAGTGATGGAAGCCACAAGCACATGCCCTGCCTGCTGGGGATGATGGAAGCCGCCGCTCTTGGTGCGCGTCTCGGGGCCAGGGTGGTGCTCGCTCTTTGGATGAGGGCTCGGACATGAGGAGCACGGTGATAGAGGGGGCAGGGGAGGGGGAGCTTATCCCGAGGCCTCCGTCTCTAGGTGCTCAGGCAGGCCCTGGGGACCGACAGGGGTTGGAAGTGCCAGGAGGGGACATGGGAGAGGAGCCAGAAGAGCCTGGTCCGATCCCTGACCCCATGAGGAGGCGTCGGGACAGAAGGGCTGGCCAACGAAAGGGCCTGTGTACAGCCAGGAGGCAAGCCCGTCTCCAGAGGGGCACTCCCAGAGGATTGGGGTCCAGGGTTACTCGAAAGGAGATTCTCGGGAATGGTTTCTAGTTTGGGTTCACCTCGGAGAGCCTTTCTTTGCTGAGGATAGCTTGCGGGATGGAAATTGGAAGCACAGAGCTTTTGCCATAGGACTGTCTGTTGTCTGAAAGAGAGAAGGGGGCACCTGCAGGATGATGGAACATAAGTTCATCTACGGGGAGCGGTTCTTGTGTTCAGGCAATTTGGGAAATTGCTGCACAAACAAGGCAAGAAATGATTGGATGTGAGATCGTTTGCCCCCTCTTCAAATATGTCTTCCCCTTTGTGCTGGAGTTACACTAACTTGAGTCCCATAAAAGCTGCTAAGCAGAAGCCATGGACGCCTGCAAATGCATGGATGGCTGAACTAATTTTAATGGCCAAGAAGGCTGGGAACTGAATCGGGCTAGTCAGCAGGAGGTGTGGTTGCATTAGACTGGGCAGGCAGGTTTCATCAATAAACTGACAGGCTGCAGAAATTTGCAGGAGAAACCTAAGACAGGCTGTCAGTGGGGAACCTTCGTGATGGTTTGGAATCAAAGATGGTTCAGGTAGAACCGGAAGGCCTAAGTTCAAATCTTCACTCAGCCATGCCGATCTCCGTGTCCCAGGGAAGCCAAAATGACCCCCAGCTCCCAAACATTGCCCCTCCCCCCAGGCTTATTTAATTTTGTTAAAGGGAAAGCTCAAAATTCTGGGAGGAACACACATAATGCTCTTAAGGGCATAGGTCCAGATAAGCCCCTGCCCTTGATATACGAGGGGCGTTCAGTGTATTCTCGGTATCGGGTTGATTTGTTATTGATATGGGTAATTTAATTATTTCATTAGCTAAGGACACTATCTGAGGGTATACATGCAAAATTTCAGGTAAGTCTGATCATTAGTTCCCTAGGAATCCTCAGTGAAAGACGACCATGATGACTGACACGACAATGTTGAAGAAAATCGAGCACCGCGCTGTGATTAAGTTCCTTACAAAACAAGGAAAAAGTCAAAAAATCATTCACGAAGAGATGGTGGCCGTTTACCAGGACTCTGCACATTCGTTATCTACTGTTCAAAAGTGGTCGAGTGAATTTAAAAGGGGCAGAGAAAGCACTGAAGATGACCCTTGCTCAGTCGAGCCAGTTACTGCCACTACGAAAGAAAATGTGAAAAAATTTGAGAAACTTGTATTGGAAGATGCCCGAATAAAAATCTAAATGTTAGCAGAGATGGCAAACCTATCCGTTGGCACCATATTTACTATTTTTCATGACCATCTTAACCTTTCCAAGGTCTGTGCAAGATAGGTGCCACGAATGCTCATGGCGCCTCAGAAACAAGTGTGAGTCGAGTGCTGTAGGGAGTTTTCAGAGCTCTGTGGTGAAGATCCATCGAGTACTTTCGACTGGATTGTTACTGGAGATGAAACTTGGGTTCATCACTATGACCCTGAAAGTAAGCAGCAGTGGCATAAAAACAGTGCTGACCCTCCGAAGGAATTCAGAGTCACTCCATCGGCCGGAAAAATCATGGCCACAGTGTTTTGGGACTCAAAGGGAATTGTATTGATCGAGTACACGAAAAAAGGTGAAACCATAAACGCAGCATCTTACGCAACCACTCTGCGTAATTTAAGAGAAGCAATTAAAGAAAAAAGGCGGGGAAAACTGACCACAGGTGTATTGCTTCTTCACGACAACACGCCCGTTCACACGGGACATGTTTCGAAGGCTGCTGTGTGAGACTGTGGTTTTGAAGAAATAAACCACCCACCCTATAGCCCGGACCTGGCCCCCAGTGACTACTACCTATTCCCGAATTTAAAAAAAGATCTTCATGGAAAGCGATTTTCCAACGATGAAGAGCTCAAGACAGCCAATAACGCACATTTTTTAGACAAGGAGGAAGGGTATTTTTTACAGGGAATTGAAAAGTTAATTTCTAGATGTGATAAGCAGGGCTTTTTTTGTCATAGAACGCACCGGAACAGCATTCCGGCACCTTTTTTTCCAATGGATTTTACGAAGTGATTTTGAATTGTAGCAGATCAGCAGCAAACATCATGAGCATGGTGCCTGCGGGCTGCGTCTGTGTCTGCTGTCTGCTATCTGATAGCGAGATAGTGAGGGCGCTGCTCTCGGCTTGGGATTGCTGTGAGTGGTTGCGCGCTTACTGCCGGCGGTGTGAGTTCTGGCACTTTTTTTTTTTTACAAAAAAAGCACTGGTAATAAGTATATTGAAGTTATGGGGGATTGCATAGAAAAATAAAAAATATTTCAATTTATTATTCCTTTTTCTTCATGTTGATACCGAGAAAACATTGAACGCCCCTCATAGCTACGGCCCTCCCAAGATGGGGAGGCGCACAGTGAGTGGACTCGCAGCTGTCCTTGCAGTCTATCCGTTTTGCCATTTGTAACTGGCAAAGAACTCACAACTCTTGCTGGTAACAAATAGCCAGGTTCCACCAGTCGCAATGTAATACCGCCTTCCCCAACTTGGGGTTCTCCAAATGAGTTGGGGTGCAACTCCTGTGACTAACCAGCAGTTTTCAGCTCTCATAACAGTCCTGCTCACCTGATGGTCCAGACGGTCCCCTCTCTCCAGTTTCTCCCTTTTCACCCTTGGGGCCTGCTGGTCCCGGTTTCCCGACTGGTCCGGGTAAGCCTGCAATGTCCAAGCACGAAGACTGATAAGTGAGCAGCCTATGACATGGTTCTCGTGGGTAAAGGATGATTAGATGACTGGGTTCGGACAACACAACAAGCCATGGTTGCTTTTTGTACCATAGCTGGCCTATTGTGCTGTCAGAAGCCAGCTGTGGCATTTCACCATGGCACGCTTGGTCTTTAGTAACCACAGGTCTTTCCATGGTTCCTCTACACCACCATGGCTTCTTGTGCTGACTGAACCCAGCAGTGTGGTTCCATGGCCCTGCTCTGCAGCTACAAATGTTCCCCGCAAAGGGTAGCAACCGCAGGAGCCATTCCAACCATCCCACCTCTGCACAGAGACCAATGAAAGAGGGGCAGGTAACACAGGCAGGAAGCAATGCACCTCGGGATTGAATCTCAGGCACACTGATCGTTGGGATATGTGCAACTGTGGGGAGACTGGAAGCACAGGATTGAAACCATGATAATGTAGTCCATTTTCTTGCTCATCCATCAAGTCGCTCATGGTAAAAAGCCATGAACCATATGAGGTAACATTGGTAGGTAACATGCAGGGTTGCTTCTTTCAGTATAAAACCCTACATATTTGGAATCGAGGGGCTGAAAATCCAAAGCAACAGGCCTCAGGTTTATTACAGACAGGTTCCTGCTCCCCGGTCTATATCAGACTTGCGCTGGGAGAGTAGATTAGAAAGAGGCACCAGGTGATACACGGACAACACAACTCTTTTCCAAATATACGAGGTATCTCCGGAAAGTAGTAAGAATGAAGTCCCTACGCCCCAGAAGGGCTCTGTGAAGGCGGAAGCTGGCCAAGGTCACTCAGGCCGGGATGCCGGGTGCGCGTGAGAACACGGATCAGTTGCATTCCAGCCGTGCCAGGCATTCTCTTTTGTGCCACCCTGTTCAAGTATTACGAAAAATGCAAGCGAGTTTGGAACAGCGAGAATGTGATAAAATTAGGTGAAATTGGGTGAAAGTGCATCAGAAACTTTGCAAATGGAGAGGAAAGCTTACGGAGAAGCCGCGCTACCATCTGCACAAGCGAACCGACGGCACAAGTTGAGATCGGCTCAGCTTGCGTCCTCCATCGCGGCAACGCTCCGAGTCACAGTGCTTTGGCTGTCAGAGAGTTTTTGGCTGAGAAACACACCACGGGGCTTCCCACCCACCCCACAGCCCCGACTTGGCTCCTTGCGGCTTTCGCATCTTCCCAAAGATGAAGAATCGCTTGAAAGGGCACCATTTTGGTTGTGCGGATAACGTCCAAAGAGCCACCCTGCAGGCTCGGGGCGCCATCCCGCTGGAAGACTTCCAGGGATGCTAGGAAGAACGGATAAATCACCGAGAGCGTTGTGTACACTCAAAAGGTGCCTACTCTGAAGGAGACGATGTTCAATTGTAAATTTTTTCAATAAAATGATTTTTAAAATATCATTCTCATTACTTTCTGGATACACCTCGTCCACAGAAAGATTTTGTTTTAAAACATGTATTAACAAAAAGCAGATTGTCTTAAGAAAGAAAATGATGCCATGATACTTGTCTGCAACATATGAAAGGGAAAAAAAGCATATTTTAACAACACAGTTTTCTGCTAACAGAAGTCACCTCCTGTTGGAAACTCCGTCGAACATATTCCCTTTATATTTACGCAATGTGATTACTTCCTGGATTATGATTGCCTGGGGTATGCCTTTGATCCCCCCACCCCATCCTGATTTATTTAAATTTGCTGACGTCTTGTTTACTTCTGCAGTTTTATAGGCATTTCCCAACATGATCTCTGGGGGCTTACTCTGTCTAATCCCTTATCAGCCTTATTAAGAAAGAATCCTGCTGGTAACGTTCCCTTTTCCCTGCCTGAGTCCAAAAGCCGATGGTGGTTCAGAAAGTAAGCTGCTCAGCAGGGTCTCTTGGGTATGCGTAGCATGATTGTTGCCTTAAATCAGCTTTTATATTGTGCTTTAAATCCCTTATATGGTAAGCATTCCCAGTGCATGTTTTGCAGGCTTGTCAGCGCTGAGACCCAATACCTTAGAAGCCGCACACTGAACCCAAGGGAATATATTTTTTAAAAAATGCTTCCCATGTATTTGTTTTAATTAAGTTTTTGCTTTAATCTCCGTCATCTCTTGAGCACCATTTCGGGCAGGAAGGCAAGATATCAATCCAATAAAAATTAAAGCAAGGGCTGCTTGGGATTGAACCAGGATTGAACTGTCAAAGTTGTCCAATGTGGATTGCAGGTGGGAGAGTCCTGCTCAGCAGCGATCGCGTTCTCAGTGCAGGAGCCATTCTGCAAATATGCATTCTGTGTTCTGTTTTCACTGAACACCCACTGGGAAGAAGGGAGAGTTTTGCCTCGAGAACCTTACGAAGCTTTTTGAGAAGGGAAGAAAAGCTGGGTGTCTAGTCCAGCCTTCTGTTCACGAAATGGCTAACCAGCCTACAGGCACCCTCCTGCCCATGTTCCCCAGCAACTGCTCGCTGATCCTGGAGTAGGACCAGCACACGGTCATCCATTCATTGAACTGGTTCCTCATGTAAAGGTGCAATACGGTGCATGTTCAGACAGAAAAAGGTCTACATGTTGAGCAGGGCATGCTGGGAGTTGTAGGCCTTTCTTTCTGCCTAAATGTACATAGGATTGCCCCCTAAATGGTGTGACCCTGTTTCTTAGCAAGATGGGCTCCTTGTTGCACAGGGGTATTCAAGCAGATCCTGAAGCGAAGGAAGTTTTAAACAGGCTTCCTTCGACGGATGGGATTCAGTCACCCATCCACAGTGACGGTGCTACGAAATGTGAAATAAGACAGTCATGGGCTTCTGTGAGGGACACACAAGATGGTTTATGGATGGGTCTAGGCAGCTTTAACCTTCAGGTGTGCAGACACACGCGATGCGATAAGGGAGGCTGGGAAACTCCAAGTAACAGGCTTCGTTATAACTGATAAAGGTAGGAACTTCAGTAAATGTTAACTGGTAAAAGTAGTTGTGAGCAGGCGAATTAAAAAGATTTGCATGGCGGCAATGGCAGCCAACCTAAGTAGAGCTTCTGACATTCTTTGTGTGGGAAGGCATCTAAGTGAAGCGAAATTTTGAACAGCTCTCTCTGTGAGGAAGAAGTGCAGGGGACCTTTATTTTGCAAAATAAATCCTTTTTTTTTACTCTTATTCCCTTGTTGTGTGTGATAGGGCTGGACACCTGGGCAGAACCCCACTATGGTCAACAACTGCAGTGCTTGAAGAATTTGAGATCTGTGATTTCTGACATGTAGCAATGAGTTCCCTTTTCCTCGGTTACTTCCAGCTTCAGGCTGGAAGCTAACTCTCCAACCACTTTTCCACTTCCTGAATCTTCTGTCCAAGTCTCAGCTCAGGTGTATCAACAGACCTTTGGAAATTCATGGTTACCTGTGCTTTTGTGTAGATAATAACAACAGTTGTAGGAGCAGGAATTGCAGTAATAGTAACAGTATTTCAGTGAAGATAAAGGATGGAATTGACTTATGAGAATATGCATCTGAACATGACATAAACTAGAAACAGTCTAGGGGGTTCACACACCACGTTAAGCCACCCAAGAAATAAGCCATCCTGGGTTGGTTGTTCAGAGGACAGTTCATGGCACTCTGAAGAACTGATTGCGTATGTGGCAGTTTCCCATCCATCCTCCCACTGATGGCGGCACATATCCCAGGTGCCTTTGCAAGAGAACTCCTCCTTTTCCCAGTTCCTACACCAGCGCCCTTTCAGCAATTGGTTCACCGGGGTTGCTGACTTTTGATGAGATTTCCAAATGAAATCAATGTTCAGGACCCCTGTGAACACAGGAATACAGAAAGCCAGAATCCGGCTAGGGATCAGGAGAAATGTCCTGACTGTTGGAGCTGTAGGACAATGGACCCCAAGGCCTAGGGAGGTGGTGGGCTCTCCCACCCTGGATGCATTCGGGATGCAGCTGGACAGCCCTCTGAGCGGCATTCTTGAATTTGGAGTCCTGCACTAGGCAGGGGGCTAGACCTGATGGCCCTCTGACCCCTTCCAACTCTACTATTCTCTGATCCTATGTTTTCACCAATGTTTTTTTTGGGGGGGGGGGTAGGGAGGAATTCCCTATAGCAGAACAGCACCAGCTGGACTTTCTGATACTCAGCCCTGCATGCTGATATTCCTGTCCGAGTCCGAGCATCTGAGTCCATTTTATCCTTCCTTTTGGAGCTTGCTTTTTTAAAAAGTCTGCTTTGCTTTACACAGAAGCAAGACCATCTGCTGGCAAAGTTCATCTCCCTCCTGCTACTTTTGCTTCCTCTCTCCTTCCCTGCTTCTCCCTCACTGTCACCTTCCACTGCTACCTGTCACACCTTGATATGGGCAGTGTTTTGGGGCATGAGGTGCGGAGAAGGGATGGAGCAGAATGGTGGCCACATCAGGGAAATGACAAGGAGTGAGACGGGGGGTCTCTGGCCTTGCTGGGTTTGGATGAGTAAGCCACTGTGAATGCCAACAACTCCACAGCAAGCCACGGGGCTCGGGGTGGCTTATGGGAGAAAAATAAGACATTTTGTAAAAACTTTGCGGGGCTCCCATGGGATGAAAATCCACTGCAGCCGATCACTCATGATGGGCTCTCATTTTCTCATGCCCTGCAATGTGATGGCTAGGAAGATAACACCACAAAATCTGCTCACCCACAGGTCCCACGGGTTTTCTCAGTACTGTCCCTGGGCTGGCAAGGGGAATGGCATCCGGCATCAGGTCGTCATACCACGTGGCTGTGGCCCTCACGACTGGAAGTTCATTCTCCGAAGGAGGAGCTCGCTCCGCGGCCTCAAGCAGAAGGATCTGGATGTAAGACATGGAACGATCGGAACAAGCTGCAGTGCTTGCAGGGGTTCTCCCTACCCTACTTTCCTGGGGCTCAGGCCCACAAGGGAAGTGGACTCAGCCCAGCCAAGTCTTTTCTAAGCAAGCCAAGCCAAGTAGGGTCAGATCCAGACAGGCAAAGCTGGGTCAAGCTGCTCTAAGCAGCATTCAGGACCATGAACAGCTCCTGGGGCTCTCCCCACCACAGCAGTTTTAGAGAGATGTTTTAGAGAGATGTTGTCTCAGCAGAGTATCAAAGCCAACAGAAGCCTTAGACAGGCTGAGAACATCTCTACCAGCAGCGGTTTTTGCAGTTCCCATTTTACACCTTGATTTTTCTCAAGATGCTTGAGGTGGAAGAGAACGGGCAACTCCAGTTTTAAGTCCAGCGATGCCCTTGCCTTTTGTAGGGAGGGCATGGGGCAATGTTTCAGCTGCCCTCGCCTGGGCAGGGTCTGCAGAACCTCCCCGGACTCTTCCTTGGGGGAAATGTAGTGGCATGGAGCTGAGAGCTTTATCAAGTTTGGAGTTCCAGGCATTCTTAGCGGCAAGTAATCTCCACTAAACTCAAGGGGACTTACATCCGAGTGGATATGCATACTTTGAACTACATGCCACACAGCTAAACACGGCCATTGAGCAAGATGGGTTTGAAGTCAATGCTGGGTTACTTCATCCTAATTTGGATAAATAAACTCAGACCTGGTAATTATATGGGGAAATGTGTGATTGATGCATATATAAAAATATTAATCCAAACCTTATTCTGTATATATTAAAAATATATTGCTTCATATTTTGGAGCCTGCTAGGGAGACAGGATTGTGTTACAGGAGATTTTGATCATGCAAAAACTATGTGGGTCATTTACCAATGCCGTCATGAATCAATCATATCTCGGATTTGTGCAATGTGATTTCCTCATGTTCTGATCGGCACGGCCTACCACTTCCACTGGGATGGAAAAGAATTTGGCTCTGTAAAAGATGATCTGTAATCCTCCAGCAGATTTTATTAAAAGATGTGGGGGTGGAAAGCACAATCAAAGATTGGAAGCGGGTGTTGAAAGAGTTGAGCCCATCTGTAGAGTCGTGGTTGGACAACGCAGTGGAGCCCTTGTGACCACTGGAGCAGAGAGGTCCATATTTGAAGAATAAAGAGAGGCACCGACTCTTTATTCTTTCTGGCACCAGGTAAAGACCTTTTTATTTACCCATCATTTTAATAATTAAATTAATAATTTGAATAAATTGAATTTTTTCAAAGAGTTGCATTTTCTTTTTCCCTTCTTTTTTCTTCCTTTTTCTCTTTAGTTTTGAATTGTTATCACTGTTATTTCTGAGTGGTTATTATTGAATGTTTGAGTTGTTATTACTGAATGTTATTATTGAATGTCTTAATTGTATTTTATATTATTATTTATTTTCTGTAAGCTGTCCTGTGGCTTGCGCAAAGGAGGGGGTAGAAATGTTTTAATTAAATTAAATTAATTAAATTAAATTAAACTCAGTGGAGCTTTCAATGGGGGCTGCCCTCACATTGCCAGATGAACTTCACTCCCCTCTTGCCATACAAGCCAAGGCCTCAGAAGAAGATGGGTCAGGCCTGACTGGGATACACCGACTCCCCTGCCATGCATCCTTCACCCCTTTATTTTTCCGATCAGTTCCTCTGAACTTCCTTTCGCCCCTGTTGACTTCATAGGGCATGAGCCCAGAAGTTGGGAATCCCATTGCTTAGGGTAGGGATGGTCCCCTCCCCCAGCTGGTTTCCTCTTGTGCTCAGCTTTGTGGTCCTGCAAAGCCAGCTGAGCCAAGAGGCAGCTTGCAAACACTCACGGACTGCCAGTTGTGCCATCGGCCCTCTTCCCTGGAGTCTGGAGTGGCTGCAGGATACAGAATAGGGGTGCTGCCAGTGGGCACACCTTTTCCCTTGCTCACTGATGCCAGCAACAAGATGGCGGCAGGGTGGGGGGGGGGTTCCTGCTGGCTCCTCAATTCCTGGCAAGTGCCTCACAAACTCTGGGTATGTTCATGAACTTGGATTCAGAGAGCCACGGGATTCTGCTGGGTTGCCAGCCCCAAACAGATTCCTCACACATAAGAAACAGAAACAGAGCGAGCCAGAAGGGTCCTCCCAGGACATCTAGTCTGACCCCCAGCTCCAGTCAGGTCCGCTCACGACATGCCCACCATGTGCATGTCCAGCCTGTCCTTGAACACCCGCACCGATGGGGCCTCAACCACCTCCCTGGGAAGCCTATTTCAGATCCCAGGGGTCCTAACTGTCAGGAAGTGCTTCCTGGCATCTCTCCTGAAACCTGGTTCCTTCAGGCATGTGGTAACCTAGATTTACACATTCCTAAGGTACTTATAACAGTAGAGCCCACCTAAAGAACCACTCCTATGGACTGGATTCTGGGCAGTGGAAAAAAAGCCCAAGAACATTATGATTACAGGATCTTGTAAAAGCTGCCATGGGGAGCAACCCACATCTCCCCCATTTTAAATATTCTGTACTAATTTCAGGGCAGCAGGAAAAGCAGTAATCTTAAATGGATTGCACACTGCTCCTGAAGACAAGACTATGAGGTTGCAAAGAGACGGAAAAAATCTGACCAGCCCTTTAAGTGCCACAAAACGTGTAATTTTTATGGGAGCTGGTGGGGACATTTCCCCCCTGCATTTCAGTGGTATCTGAGCCATTTAAAACCATCCAAAATATTATGCTTGTGAACTACTTAACTCTACAGACCATAGCACCTAATCATTTTAGGGTGCATAAATGGAACAGGAGAGTTTTGCAACCTGACCCTATTGGGATGTGCCAGCCTACAACTCCCAGCACCACCGAGAGCTGATGGGACCTGGAGTCTTACACATTTGGAGGGAGCCAGGTTTGGAAACAGGACCTGTGTTCTCATCCCAACTTCCGCCACTCTGGCGGAATGGCATGGCCTGTTGCTCCGCCATCGATCCCACAAGAGCCATGAACATCTTGTCAAGCATACCAGGGAGGCCCCTGCCCCTGGGAGCTTGCACTCTAAAATTCAACATGAGCAAAAGGAGGAGGAGATGGGGAATAAATAAACAGGAACCATGCAGTGATTTACGTAAGTTGGGTACTCTCAGGCTTGCAGTGGGATATGGAGACAGAGAAATTGAGCCAATGGGAAAATTGCAGAACAAAGATGTCGTAAGTGGAAGTTTGAAGCAACATGGGGCAAGCGAGGAAAAGGCAGAGTTATCTGAGAAAATCCTTCAGGCAGGAGAGTCACAGAGAAGGGTGAAGAAAGGTTTAGTGCATAGATGGGTCAGGACCCCTTAATAATTCTTTAAAGGGTGCTTACTTTGGCTTCAAGGCTGTTTAGCCTCTCTGTCATATCCGCGAATCTTGTGCAGTTCATACATTCTAGAAGAGAAAACCATGAATGGATTCATTCAGAGAAATCAACACGATTTCCAAGCATTGCCTGTGATTTCATCTCATCTTATCGATCTCAGATGGAGGAAACCTGGACACGAGGCGAGCTGAAAATGCTGCAAACAGAAGAGCAGTTGGAAGGGAAACTTCCAGCACAGCAGCCAGGCAACCACTGCATTTGCATCCACCAACATTTCCTGCAGTTCCCTCTATGGCAGCGGTTCCCAAATGTTTTTGGTCATGGAACCTTTCTGAAGACTAATTCTATCCCTGATTTTTATGAAGCCTTGTGAACCCACAACGTCCTTCCAGCTTTCTTCTGTTCCTATTACCCACGTGCTTTGCATAATGTAGGAGGTCTGGAAATGAAGAGAAAACATTTTAAATATAATGAATGAATAAAGTGATTATATGATAATACCCCAAAGGAATTATTTAGATTATTCCCAAAACTACACAACAGAGTCCTCGGCACCAAATGATGTGATGCATTTCCTTGTTCGCTGCTTGGATGCTGCCTGAAAGCCAAATAGTTAGCCTTGTGTGATTCCATTCTGAAATCCATTTTAAACTTGATTTTTGAAATTTTTCAAGGAACCCCATGAGGCTTTTGCGGAACCCTAGGGCTGCGTAGAACACAGTTTGGGAACTGCTGCTCTATAGAATTCTTATCATCGCATCTCTCGACCTCCAAAGCACAGAGCGTCTACCTCTTCCATTGGATTTGTTGCAAATAATAAGAATAAGAATAAATGATTGGATTAGTTGCAAATAATAATCAAGTGGGCTAAAAGCCAGAAAAATGGTCGCACATCACATTGATGCACAGAGGTGGCAATCTTCACTCAGCAGCTGAAAAATCAGGGATTCAAGATTTGGAGACCTCAAGTGCTCGAAGCCCCAGGCCTGGCATTTTGTTTTTTCCGCACGTTTGAATTAGTGACATCTTAAGTTCTCTCATTCACAGGTGTGGAAGAATGTGTGGGTTCGGCTACATAGTTAACGAAAACTATTTGTTATCGCCTATTCCAAATGCAGAAGTCGATGGGCGTCTGTTCAGAGGCTCTTAGGGAACTGGCGGCTGGACCACAGTGGGAGAAACAAGCACGGATGGCGCGCTAGGGGGCAGCATCTGCAAGCGTCACCGTGGAGCTGAAGGTGCGGGGAAATCCCAGCGGGTACAGGGAGGGCTGGACAGGCATCCATGACAGGATCACGTCTCTTAAATGACAGCATCGGACCCCAAGGGGCTTGTCTGGGAAGAGATCAAGTCAGGCATCTGATAGTGCAGCAGTTTGGGAGGAAAATAAAATCCAGTTCTTCTATATTTATTTATTTATTTATTTAAAGTTTTTTTATATGCCGTCCCCTTGCTACATAGCCTCGGGACGGCTCACAGCAATAAATAAATAAACCAAATACAATTACAATTACAATTAAAACTTGAAAACACACTGGCTGCACAATTAAGACTATAAATATTAAAGATTATTAAAATACTGTTTGAATAAAAAGGTCTTGGCCAAAGGGTTTCCAAGGAGGTGGATGGTGAATTCGCAAGGCGAAGTGAAACATGGTTAGGTACGTGAGGGGGTGTCACGTGGAGGTGGGCAGAGACCTGTTCTCCCCTGCAGAGGAAGGCAGGACGCGCTCCAACAGAGCAAAGCTCAGGGAACCCAGGTTCCATTTGGATGCCAGGAAGCACTTCCTGACAGTCGGGACCCCGAGGGTGTGGAATGGGCTTCCACGAGAGGTCGTTGAGGCCCCATCGGTGCGGGTGTTCAAGGATAGGCTGGACATGCACATGGTGGGCATGTCGTGACTGGAGCCTGTTGGAGCCGGGCGTCAGACTAGATGGCCCGGGAGGCCCCTTCTGGCTCACACTGTTTCTGTGGTTGTTGAAGGCAAGGTTTGGAGGGTGGAGAGGGCCTTTTTGGTGGCTGTTCCCAGACTCTGGAACTCTTTGTCCCACTACCAACAGGCACAGGTGCCCTAATTCGGCCGATGTTTGTTCCTTAAGTTACCACAATAATTTTAGCTTGCAGTAGGTTTTGCTGGGTAGGTTGCTTGTCTGGAGGTGACTATTTTTCCTTTCACTGTGCTGCTGTTACCTGCTTTCATGCTTTGATTACACTTTCCTCTTTTATTCCATATGTAATTGCTGTTAGCTTCCTCAAGCATCATTTATGAGGGAATGGTTAGGTATACATTCAGAAAATAAATCAATAAAGACAGGTGAGACCCCAGCTTACCAATATGCATTTGGGCTACACTACTTCAGGCTCTGCAGGTAGGGGCCAGCATGACTGGCTGCTCATCAGGTCCGAAAAACTGGCTGTGCTCACTCATCATTTTCAGTCAGGAATCTTGGTTTACTTACTGACAATGTGCATACACTTTTGCTTGTCCACAGAACCCTTCACTCACAAGGGAAAACAAATGACAGGATAATCGAACAAGCCATCAGTAGCGTTGAATGCCATTGCATGGAGAATGATGGGCTACTGCACCCAATTAAGCTGGGATCCTTTTTCAAGCAGAAAAACCTAGTTTAAGTTGGTTTATGATCCTGGCTTGTTTGGGCTCAATAAACTGTCATTGGATACAATGCTAAGCTATTGACCCCTGGCTTGCTCACCCTCCCACAGGAGCAGGACGTTCACAGTAGAAGCAAACAGGCCATGCGCATGGACACAAAGGTGTTTGGTATTCCGGGATCATTTCCTTAAAACGATGTGCAAACATGGGCACTTTCAAGTGGAGAGTCAGGGGAAATGCTCTATTCCACCTCGTTGCCTGCTACTTCGCTTCTACTTGCAGGGATTTTTAAAATGTACGAAGACATCCCAAACTGCTATCCCAAAGCAGCAATCTGACACCATCTGGTCAGCTACCTCATTCCTCTTTTGTCCAGACCAGCCTGCAGGACAGAGACTGTCCCGGGAGATTCCATGTTGATCTTTAGCACCGGATGATGGTCTTAAGGTCTTCCACCAACCCCCAAACAGCACGAAGCAAGGGACTTCTGTAAGAATTATATGAGCTGAAGTTTCTGGCTTCTTTTTGCCTGTCTGTTTATCACTGGAGATGAAAATGATCGCCACTTCCACACCAATCCCCTCGTGCCTCATTTTGCAAAAGAGCAGTTAAAGTGTACCATTTTGCAGGAGAGAGAGCAGGAGGCAGATAAATAGCTTCCCTTTGGCCCCAAATTGTTCTCAAGCAGCCCGGCTGCTGCACCTCCGAAAGCGCCAAGCCCCATCTGTGTCAGTGGGCCTACTCGGGAGCAATTGGCTTACCTGTGCATGACAGCCGGCATTAGATTTCTGCTGAGTGTGCTCTTTTTCGCAAGGGTGGCAAAAGACAGACATGCAAGTATGCGCTTCTCTATCCCCAGATGTGCCGTTGCTTCCTTCACAAAACCCCTCTGTGTTTTTGGGTAGCTCATCTGCTTAACAGATGTGCAGCTTCCAGAGCTCCCAAGGTTTTTACTTACAATAAATCCGCAGATGTTAATTGAGGTACAAAGCCCCTAGCTAAGAAAGCCTTTACCTCCCCTGGAAATACCCAGTGTGTCCAGATTAGCCCCTGCTGGAAACCTGAAATCTATTTTCTGATCTGTACTTGGATGATGATGATGATGATTAATAATGATGCGTTTTAGGGAATGCAGACTGAAGTGATCTCAATCTGCATGCATTTGCAGCTTAGCAAGGACAGAATTTAAGATCCAGGGGAGGGAACATAAAGCCATGCATCTTTGGTGCATTTATACAGGCGCAAGACAACTGGGAACCATGAGAACCAGACATATTTGCTGAGATTTTGGCAAGTTACTCTTGGTTGGATGGGTTATTATTCTGGCGAAGCAAAAAGCTCAGAACTGGCCATGCTAATAGGGGAGGCTACCTTGAAATTCTTCTTCAAGTTACGTGGCATAGTGCCTGCAATTTTTACCCCCCACCATCTCTCCCTAGAGCAGAAGTGAGGAATTGCAGGCCCAAAGACCAGACCCAGCTCCTTGCAGATCCCAGTCTGAACCCAGAGCTGAGTTCCAGTCTGAACCCTGAGCTTCTCTCAAACATCATGCTCTCTTCCTCTGGCTTACCCACTTCCCCAGGCCTTTTGCATCCCCCCCCCCCTCCCCAAGTCTAAAAGGCCTAGTTACCAGCAAGATCTACGGCATCCCCCCGCCCCCAAAGAAACCTCCTGATGCACTTTCAAGATCTTCAAGCCTCTTTCCTCCTGTTCATCACTTCAGGTGCCCCTTTCTATACTTTCCCCAAATCTAAGATATCCTGCCCGCCTTTTAGGTGCAGTGCCCTTCTGGCGATGTTGACCCAACATTCAGGGCCTCACAAAGGAGGACCCTGCTTTGCAAAACTACGGGGATCCCTGGGCTGGCGTTGCAGGAGAAACGATTCAGCACCTGCCAAGGGCCCCGATTGTGGCTGGTGAATGGATATTTTCCTATATCATCTCAGTCATCCACTCCATTCCAATCCTGCAAGCCATCTTGACTGCAATCTTTGCTGGGGAGACGGGGACACATGAAATACAGACTTATATGATTGCATTGCCTTCTTCTTTCTTTATAAGGGACCCAAAGTGGCTGACACAGCTCCATTTTATCCTCACAACAACCCTGTGAGGGAGGCTAGCCTGAGGTCAGTGACCGGCCCAATGTCGCACCAGGGAGCTTCAGGGTGGGGACTGAAGCCCAGATCTCCCAGGTCCCCAGGCCAACACTCGACCCAGCACCCCACACAGGCTGATACTGGATTGAAGTTCCTTGCAAAAAAAATGTGATGTGACAATGACAATAGACATGCGGGATAATAGAAACGCAGGTGAGAGTCTGGTGAGCAGGTCTCCTGGCCTTCTCCACCTGCTTTTCAGGAGTGATGGGTGGACAGTCTTAGGCTGATCTGCTCCTTTCTGTCCTTCTAGTTCTCTGCCTTTATATCAGACTCAGACTAGACCCCTCT